GAAAAGGGGTGAGAGCTCGGGCACTGGGGAACCTAGTTAAACAAGAGCCCGTCCCCGGGTCCGGGTGAGGCGACTCGACAGCCGTGATCCCCGGGTCGCCTGCCTGCCAAGTTTGAAGGTTGTCGCGGCAGTCGAAGCTGCAGCCCAGGTGCTTCTCCCTGCAACACCACACCTGGAGCTTTGGGCGGCCGGGTGTCTTACTGAGAGCGCCCCCAACAAAAAGGCCAAAGTACCCCCCCTTGAAAAAAAAGGAAAGAACAAAAATCAAAATAAACGTGGTCTTCCTTTCGTTTACTTTGAACACCAAACTAAAAAAGGTTACCCTCAACACAAAGACACTCGCAGGCCCAAGTTGGATCTCTCTTTCTGGGCCCGTGTCCCCATAGCGAAACCAAAACGAACAACTCGGAATGTCACCAAGGGAACTACCTGGAGTCTGCTTCCGACCGTTTAAAAATGGTTGGTCAGTACCTAAAAACAGTCATGGACCTATATTTATTTCGGGTCAGAAGGAGACTCCAGGTAGAGTTTGACTGACCGGGAATTCGGAGCACGTACTTGGCTCCCTGGAAGTGTTTATCTTCCGGTTGCCAGGGTTAACCACCTGTAGCAACTTTTCCAGGCAAACGGAACTTTCATCCCGCCTTGGCATCACTCAACCAAAGCACCCCGTGGGAACAAAAATCCGTTCGCTTCGCCCTTCGAACTTTAAGAGTCTTGGTTGCTGTTGACCCCTCTGCCAAAGGCTTTTGTCTTGCGAGTCCAACATCCTCTGTTTCCAAAGATCCGACAAAAAGAATCGCCATAAAGGTGTACAGGTCAAAATGAGGCAGACCAAACCACAGGGTTTGAGTCACTTCCACTTCCCAGGGCTCAAGCCCCATGGGGTTACGCGTCTCAATGTCCAGCCTGTTAAAGCCATGGGGCTTCTTTTGGGCTTGTTGCTCCCTCCCCCCAGCCATGATAACGGGACCCCAACCAAACCCCCGGCGTCGGAACCGGGCACCGAACCTCCGCGCCTTCTTCCGGTGCGACCAGCCCTCTTCCCAGTTCCGCACGCCCGCCTGGCGCTTCTTTCGGCTGGACCGGGGCGGGGGAAAACGGGGACGGGGAAAACGGGGGGGGATGGATCCACTGGTTGCGAGCACGTCGAAGGGAAGAACGGAACGACTTGCGGGTGGATGCCGCAGATGTTTTTTCTTCCGGGAACGCAAGGGCAACCCGTAGATTTTTGTCGATGGTTTGTTGTGTTCCAGTGTGGTGGGTTGATTTGCAATTTTGGGGCATCACGTGTACAGCAGAAACAACGAAACATCATTTTCCTTGGAAAGGAGACGCGTCTACCTGGTGCAACAATGTGTAACATGGCAATTTTCTCACGGGAGAGATGCTCAAGCCTAACTTTTATTTGCTCATCGGTAGCTTCCCCATTCTTTCCAGGGATCCTTCTTGCTAGAAAACCACAAAAAAAACACAGGGAAACAGCCGGTTTTCGAAAAGAACGATGCTTGAAAGAATGCGGAATCAACCCCCAGAATAATGAGCTTCCTGTCTTTTGTTGCAGGTTCTACCAAGTAGCCTCTGCGGTCAGGCAGACCCTCTTCCGTGCTTCATGTGAATCACCATGGCCAATCATATCCCAAGCTTCCCCCTGACAGGGCGCGACCCAACTCACGATCACACGGCTTTCTTTGGGAACCTCCCCGGAGCATAATTACCGCAAGCCTCAAAAACCCGTTTGCCGCCCGAAAAGCCAAGGAGTGGCAAACTCAACCAGCTTGAACCCCCACCCCCTGGCTGGACACATGTGGGAAGGGCCTTTTATTGACGCCCTTCCGTTCATACCGTAAGAGTGGGGATGTGGTTTCTCCTTGTATTGCCAAGGGACCCACCCTTCAAGGCTGGCAAAGCTCCTGGGACCGACCGGCGCCGAAGTAGAGGGAAAACCCCAAAAAACCACATTGGGGGGACCCCCATAAACAAGTACCCGGTCAAGACGGGGTCAGGGGTACCCACAACGATACCTCTATTTGCTTATGTCCACTGAAAAAATGGGAAAAAGTAGTGAAATCGATTCCCTTTAAGACCAACAGGGAAAATAATAATAATAATGATAATAATGCTTATTAATAATAAACAGTACATAAATAAATAAATAAATAAATACATACATACATACATACATACATACATACATACATACATACATACATTACATACATACATACATACATACATACATACATACATACATACATACATACATACATACATACATACATACATACATACATACATACATACATACATACATACATACATACATACATACATACATACATACATACATACATACATACATACATACATACATACATACATACATACATACATACATACATACATACATACATACATACATACATACATACATACATTACATACATACATACATACATACATACATACATACATACATACATACATACATACATACATACATACATACATACATACATACATACATACATACATACATACATACATACATACATACATACATACATACATACATACATACATACATACATACATACATACATACATACATACATACATACATACATACATACATACATACATACATACATACATACATACATACATACATACATACATACATACATACATACATACATACATACATACATACATACATACATACATACATACATACATACATACATACATACATACATACATACATACATACATACATACATACATACATACATACATACATACATACATACATACATACATACATACATACATACATACATACATACATACATACATACATACATACATACATACATACATACATACATACATACATACATACATACATACATACATACATACATACATACATACATACATACATACATACATACATACATACATACATACATACATACATACATACATACATACATACATACATACATACATACATACATACATACATACATACATACATACATACATACATACATACATACATACATACATACATACATACATACATACATACATACATACATACATACATTACATACATACATACATACATACATACATACATACATACATACATACATACATACATACATACATACATACATACATACATACATACATACATACATACATACATACATACATACATACATACATACATACATACATACATACATACATACATACATACATACATACATACATACATACATACATACATACATACATACATACATACATACATACATACATACATACATACATACATACATACATACATACATACATACATACATACATACATACATACATACATACATACATACATTACATACATACATACATACATACATACATACATACATACATACATACATACATACATACATACATACATACATACATACATACATACATACATACATACATACATTACATTACATACATACATACATACATACATACATACATACATACATACATACATACATACATACATACATACATACATACATACATACATAAATTACATACATACATACATACATACATACATACATACATACATACATACATACATACATACATACATACATACATACATACATACATACATACATACATACATACATACATACATACATACATACATACATTACATACATACATACATACATACATACATACATACATTACATTACATACATACATACATACATACATACATACATACATACATACATACATACATACATACATACATACATACATACATACATACATACATACATACATACATACATACATACATACATACATACATACATACATACATACATACATACATACATACATACATACATACATACATACATACATACATACATACATACATACATACATACATACATACATACATACATACATACATACATACATACATACATACATACATACATACACATACATACATTACATACATACATACATACATACATACATACATACATACATACATACATACATACATACATACATACATACATACATACATACATACATACATACATTACATACATACATACATACATACATACATACATACATACATACATACATACATACATACATACATACATACATACATACATACATACATACATACATACATACATACATACATACATACATACATACATACATACATACATACATACATACATACATACATACATACATACATACATACATACATTACATACATACATACATACATACATACATACATACATACATTACACATTACATTACATTACATTACATTACACTACACTACATTACATTACATTACATTACATACATACATACATACATACATACATACATACATACATACATACATACATACATACATACATACATACATACATACATACATACACATACATACATACATACATACATACATACATACATACATACATACATACATACATACATACATACATACATACATACATACATACATACATACATACATACATACATACATACATACATACATACATACATACATACATACATACATACATACATACATACATACATACATACATACATACATACATACATACATACATACATACATTACATACATTACATACATACATACATACATACATACATACATACATACATACATACATACATACATACATACATACATACATACATACATATACATTACATACATACATTACATTACATTACATTACATTACATACATACATACATACATACATACATACATACATACATACATACATACATACATACATATACATACATACATACATACATACATACATACATACATACATACATACATACATACATACATACATACATACATACATACATACATACATACATACATACATACATACATACATACATACATACATACATACATACATACATACATACATACATACATACATACATACATACATACATACATACATACATACATACATACATACATACATACATACATACATACATACATACATACATACATACATACATACATACATACATACATACATACATACATACATACATACATACATACATACATACATACATACATACATACATACATACATACATACATACATACATACATACATACATACATACATACATACATACATACATACATACATACATACATACATACATACACATACATACATACATACATACATACATACATACATACATACATACATTACATACATACATACATACATACATACATACATACATACATACATACATACATACATACATACATACATACATACATACATTACATACATACATACATACATACATACATACATACATACATACATTACATACATACATACATGCATACATACATACATACATACATACATACATACATACATACATACATACATACATACATACATACATACATACATACATACATACATACATACACATACATACATACATACATACATACATACATACATACATACATACATACATACATACATACATACATACATACATACATACATACATACATACATACATACATACATACATACATACATACATACATACATACATACATACATACATACATACATACATACATACATACATACATACATACATACATACATACATACATACATACATACATACATACATACATACATACATACATACATACATACATACATACATACATACATACATACATACATACATACATACATACATACATACATACATACATACATACATACATACAACATACATTACATACATACATACATACATACATACATACATACATACATACATACATACATACATACATACATACATACATACATACATACATACATACATACATACATACATACATACATACATA